TATATGCATGTATATGTTTATTGCAGCACTACTCACAATAGCAAAGATATGGAATCAATCTAAATGCCCATCAATGGTAAACTGGATAAAGAAAATGTGATGCATATACACCATGGAATACTATGCAGCCAGAAAAAGGAATGAGATCATGTCCTCTGCAGGGGCACAGATGGAGTTGGAAGGCATCATCCTTAGCAAACTAATGCAAGAACAGAAAACAAAATACCACATGTTCTCACTTATAAGTATTAGCTGGATGATGAGAACACATGAGGGAAACAACCCACACTGGGGCCTCCCAGAGCAGGGAGCCAGGGGAGGCAGAGCTTCAAGAGGAATAACTAATGGATGCTGGGCTTAATACCTAGGTGATGCGATGATCTTTGCAGCAAACTACTATGGCACATGTTTACTTATGTAACAAACCTGCATATCCTGTACATGTACCCCAGAACTTAAAATAAAAGTTGAAAAAAAAAAAGAATTTGTAGACGTACTGAGATCAGGGAATTGAGATCAGGATATCTGAAATCATCTGCCCACCACTGCCCCTAGTGACTCATTTTGGTGGGCGAGGGAGGAGCTATGGGGATGGACAGAAAGTGGGGCTTTTTAAATTAAAGTGGGGCTTTTAAAATTACAGTTTGATGATGAAATGGGGAGGCAGATTGTTCTGATCATGGTCAAGTAGTTTGATCAGACTCACCTTCCCATGGATAGCTCTGTCTAAACTGGAGAAATTACTCACAGGAAAACAGTTCATCGAAGTCAGAGTCATCCACATCAAGTAGATTCTGGAGGTGATGCCTATAAAAAGGAATTGCAAGGAGTAAGGTATTTGAGGGCACAGCTTTTCACCAGCACATGCTCTATGAATGGTTTCTTTTACACTCTTTTGCATCTTCATTTTAATATAATTTTCAGGGTAGCTTTGTTCAATAAACACTAAGTATTCTGAATATATTTTAATGTCTGGATAATATAAGTAGTGCTTTTTTTCAGACATGAATGACATTTTATTAACTGTGGTAACATATACGTAACATAAAATTAAATATATTAATCATTTAGGGTGTATATTTTAGCACCTGTAATTACATTCAAATTATTATGTAACCAACATCACTGTCTCAAGAACTCTTTTCATCTTGCAAAACTGAACTTTGTATCATTAAACAGTAACTACCCGTCCTCAATTTCCTCCTATTCCTAACAACCACCCATATAACAACCCATAGAAAATTTCTGTATCTATGAACTTGTGTATTCTGGGTACCTTAGATAAGCCAGTCACACAGTATTTTATATGATTGTGATTGTCTTATTTCACTTTGCATGAATATCTTTAAATTTCATTCATGGTATAGCATGTGTCAAAATTTACTTTCTTTTAAGGATGAATAATCTTCCATTGTATATTTGCACCACATTACTTCCTCAATGGTCACTTGTGATGTTTCTACTTTTTGGATATTGTGAATAGTGCTGCTATGAACATGGGTGCAGATATAGCTCTATGATAAGTTACTTTCATTTCTTTCGGATATGTATCCAGAAGTAGAATTGCTAAATGACATGGTAATTCTCTTTAAAATTTTAAATTCTTTTAAAAAAAAATACTTATTTGACTACCTAAGAAATTCTGCCAAAAGCAAGAGAGCTGTGAACACCTGAACTATCACAGAATCCTTTCACCACCTCCCACTAATCCAGGGACACCAAGGTTCAGTTTGTCATCATCAGTGGGTTCTGCTATGGAATGCTTTAGAATCACAAGAGTTTACCACTAATCCAGACCTCCAGCAGGATGAAGTTTCTCCAAGTACCCAAATCTCTTCTTGCTTGGAAAATTCTGAGGGCCCTGCAGACACCTTGGCCAGTTGGAAAACACCACACTGCACAGATCACTCAGCTGGGTTCCACTAGGCGTCAATCCTGTGCCAGCTGAACATGAAACATGTATTGTATTGAAAGAAAATAATCAATAAAGAATAAACACAATAAGAGTTAACAGCACACAACATGGATGAATCTTGAGGACATTATGATAAATGAAATAAACCAGTTACCAAAAGAGAAATACTGTATGATTTCACTTACATGAGGAACTTAGAATAGTTAAAATCATAGAGATAGAAAGTAAAATGATTGCTAGAAGCTGGGGGACAGGGAAATGGGAGTTATTATTCAATGGGTATAAAGTTTCAGTTTTATAAGATAAAAAAAGTTACAGAGATGAATGAGCATGGTGGTTGAATAACATTAGAAATTAGAATATATTTAATACCACTGCCCTTGTATTAGTCCAATTTCACACTGCTATAAAGAAACACCAGAGACTGGGTAATTTACAAACAAAAAAGATTTAATTAGCTAAGTTCCATATGGCTGAGAAGGCTGCAGGAAACATACAATCATGGCAGAAGGCAAAAGGGAAGCAAGGACCTTCTTCACATGGTCGCAGGAGAGAGAAGTGCAAACAGCGGAAATGCCAGACGCTTATAAAGCCATTAGACCTCATGAGAACTCACTCCCGATCATGTAACTGCATGGGAGAAACCGCCCCCATGATGCAATCACCTCCTTCCCTCTACACGTGGGGATTACAATTCAACATGAGATTTGGATGGGGAAACACAGCCAAACCATAAAAACACTGTACACTTAAAAATGTTTAAGATAGTGAATTTTATTTATGTGTATTTTATCTTAGCACAAAATTGGGAGGAAAAAGAGTTAATAGCAAAGTGATTAGCAACTCCACTTTTCAGTCAGATAGCATTGGTTCCATTCTGGTCTCTACACTTAAAATCTGCCTGACCTTGAGCAAGACTCATAACAAAACATCATCTCAGTTATTTGGTGATAAAATGGGTATAACTGTAGTGTGGTAGGCTGAATAATAACCTCATCTCCTCACAAAATATCCTAATCCTAGCAACCTGTGTACCTATAAATGTATTACTTTACATGGTAAAAGAAACACTCCAAATGTATTATGCTAAGGATATGACATGGGCAAATTACACTAGATTATCCAAGTGGGCCCAATGTAATCACATTGATCCTTCTAAGAGGGAAATAAGAGGATAAGAGTGGATAGTAGAAGATGTGATACCCCAAGCAAAGGACTCATGAGATGAGGAACGTTGGCAGCCTCTAGAAGCAAAAAAAAGAAAAAAAAAAATGCGGGGAAATAAATTCTCTCCTAGAACCTTCAGAAGGAAACAGCCTTACTCAACACCTTGATCTTAGCCCAGTGAAACTGATATTGGACCTTCAAACTTCAGAACTGTAAGAAAGTCATTTGCATTATTTTACCACTAAGTTCGTTGTAATTTGTTATAGTACTCATGGAAACTAACACAAATTTTACATACCTCCTAGGTTTATAAGAAAGATTAACACAAAACATGCAAAATTCCAAAAAGAAATGTAAAGGGAACCAAAAGTTGACTGATGGGGAAAGGTGGTGATGGAGGGAAGATTACAAATTTCAGTAAGGTACTCAATGTATGCCTCATTGAGAAATTGGCCTTCTGTATAAATATACAAGAGTGCCTGTTTGTCCACACCTTGACCAATGCTTACATGAACATATTTTCATTTTCCACTCAAGAATGTTTAAAAGATATATAATATATACTTTTTTGTTTTTAAGCTATTTTCATGTTTAATAACCATTTCCATTTTCTTTTCCAATGTGTTCATTAGAATCATTTTTCCATGTTTTTATTATATTGGGGTGGTTCCTGGTATATTGTTTACTAGAAAAACATCAAGTTGTAGAAAATATGTGTAGTATGAGCCCAATTTTATAAAGAACCACACTTAATAGCATATGTATTTGTGTGTATATAATATATACAATGAGTGAATATATATTTATGCAGTCATATGTGTATAGATACATATATACATATATGTACATCAGTACACTTACATAATAGCTTAAAATGCATGACAAAGTGACTTCCTCTGGAAGATAAGCTCACAAAGAGTAATCACTGATGTCCATTCTCATTTCATAAACTTGAAGATAGAAGGAATGGGAATGGATGACTAGAATTTGATGTGTGTTAGATGTTCAATTGTGTATATTTTGGAGATAAAATGAGGCTAATCACTTCAGGGCCATAGAATCAAATTATCATCACATTAATGATAAGTGTGAAACAATGAGGTATAAATTAGAAAAATAATATAATCTACTGAGGCTTTGCGGAGATTTTGTTCTTGTTTGGGGAGAGAAGAATAACATTCAGAACACATGAGTAGCAATTTGAGAGCATATATTTATACTTAATTCTAAGTTGGAAACATGAAGTAAAAATAATATTTCAAATTTGTATTTAGTGTGGACAGTAACACCTAAGTAAGGGCATGAGTTCTGACACTTAATGTTCATTCCTACCTATCACTTATCCTTTTAATATTTCCCTAAAGGTTAGTTTTGCTCTTTGACAGACCTTTCTCAAATCCAAACCTTGAGAAACTCTAGATAACACGCAGCCAAGAAAGCTTCCCCACCCTCTTTCCCTTTGCCCCTCTCTATGCTTATCATTATGAGGGACAGCATGGCTGATACTCTGTTTCATTTCTTTCTTGCATTATGGACAAAAGAGGAAAAATCTGAGAATAAGCTAGCAATTAGTAACACTTTTCATTTAGAATATTCACAGAAGAAATGAATCTGAATTATGATATGGTAATCATTTTTCTCTGTTTTATAACGAAAACATTAAAAACTCAGCACAAATTATTAGTATGTGTGGCAGTCAATAAATACAGAATATTAATAATAGCAGATATATTTATGCAATGACCCAAGCAAGTCTCCTTAATGAAGATCGGATGTTCAATGCATCTTCAGGGAATGGGAAAATGTGATTAGAGGTCAGAAAAGATATCCCTAATATTGGAACTCTCCCTGATTTAAAAAAAATAAAAAAAAGACTTGCAGGTGACAAAAGATCAGTAGCCAGGTGACTTAACCTTCTTCAGACAGGAGTGAAGCAGATCTGGTATGAAGGTAGCATAGAAACAAGTCCTTTGGCAGTGGGAGTGGCATTGAGGGCCTTTAAATCAGTAAGAGATTTCAGGTTAAAGTTCTGTAAAATGGTAGTCAGGAATAAAAATAGCTCCATGCGGGCAAGTCCTTCTCCAACACAAATCCGTTTTCCTGAAAATAATAAACAGAGATTGTAGTTACTCCTTGTGTGTAACTGTGACTATGACAATCTGTTTATGACTTGCACAAATAGAATATGTAGTAAATATCTGATAAATGATTGAGTGGATAGATAGATAAACGGAAGGATGGATGGATGGATGAGTGGGTGAATGCATGAAACAGATGGATGTATGGATGTTTGTATGGACAAATGAATAAAGAATGAACATACTTGCTATCTTTCTAGCTTCTGATCTTAATAGGCACCCTCCATTCAACAAATATTCATTGAGTGTCAGCTCCATAACAAGCACTTCATTAGACATTCCCACATTATAACAGCTGTTTTGATATTTTGAGTTTCCAGCAGTCTTTATAGAAACACTTGTTTCCTGTTCCAAGCCTGATATTCCATGATCTTTCCTCCAACCCTTCACACCCTCTACTCTCAGCTTTAGCCATACACACACTTTATCAATCCGCAACGCACCATGAAGTTCAAGTTTTACATCATATTGTTCCTTTTGGTCAAGGTGTACCTTTGTTATGCTGCACTCAGAACATAGGTCAAATTTCATTTCCTCTTTACACTCTTTACAATCCCCTCAAGTAATAATATCTCACACTGTCTCAGTTTCCACAATGCCATATTAATGTTTTCATTGAAGCATGGATCACATATAATCATTATTCCCTATTTATTTATTTTTCTATTGTGCAAAAATGTGAATTCTTGAAGAGAGGTCTCTGACCTTGTCGACTTGTTATCTACAGTGACAAATATAAAGCAGACATCAAAGGTCACAGGATAAAAGAAGGAGATTCCATGGCCAGAGACTCACCACACAAAATGCAGGTGTGAAAATTCAGCATCCAAGATACATGATCATGATTGGAGGAAGTGCAAGATGGTCTGGAATCACAGCAAAGTATCCTACTACATTCCCAATGTTTCTGTAACCCCACGGTTGTTTGGCAAAGGTTCTGACATCCTTTATTTAGAGCAAATGTCTTGCCCTGTCGTTTATTACCTCCTTGAAAATGCCAGCTGGGTGCTGTGGCTCATGCCTGTAGTTCCAGCACTTTGGGAGGCAGAGGTGGGTGGAACACTTGAGGCCAGGAGTTCAAGGCCAGCCTGGCCAACATGGTGAAACCCTGTCTCTACTAAAACTACAAAAAAATTAGCCAGGCATGGTGGCATGCACCTGCAGTCCCAGCTATTTGGGAGGCTAGGGCATGAGAATTGCCTGAACCCAGGAGGTGGAGGTTGCAATGAGCTGAGATTGCACCACTGCACTCCAGTCTGAGTGACAGAGTGAGACTCTGTCACACAAAAAAAGTAAAAAGGAAAAGGAAAATGCCATACCTTCTCTTACATTTTCTCTGTCTCCTTTGAGGCAGCTCAGACATCATTTCTGTTATTAGAATGTTGCTTAGCTCATTTTATGCCTCACTGTGAGGCATGAGGAGCAAAAAGCACGCAGGTTCTCCCTCTATTGTCTATCCCCCAGAAGCTTGCGATTTCCTCTCTCATAGCCCTAGTTCTACTGAAGTACAATGATCTGCTTCCCTAACTTGGCAGTGAGACTCTTTATAGTCCATTCTGTGCTTATGGTTATTTCTTGTATCCTCAGAGCTCAGCCTATGGGGTGAGGGACACCATGTGGAAGATAGTCAGTGGAGTTGTAGACTTAGATATCTTCCTCATGGCAGGTGATGAAAGTCTAAATGAGTCTCACCTCCTATGTGGAGCTCTTGGGTACCTCAGTGATGTATCTAGTGACAGAATTCAACCAACCTACACTTCAGTGTTCTCAAGTGGGAAGAAAGGGGTTAACTCCCCAAAGCCCCACTAATCTATCCCAATAATGAGGTTGTATTATGAGGGTGGAGCACACAAGGATTGGAAGTCGTGCTCCTGATCATGGACAAAGAGCAATTCTACCAGCCCCAGAGTAGATGCCACATATTTTCCAATAGATTCCCCCAAATTATCTTGTTCCCTAAAGTACAGATGGGAATGAATTTCCATTACCTGCTGAGAAGGGCATGAAGTTTTCACTTTTCTTAAAGTTGCCATTCTCATCCAGAAAGTGGCCAGGGTCAAACACCTCTGGGTTGGGGAATTCTTTGTCATCGTAAAGCACTGAAGTCAGTGATGGTACTATGTTTGTGCCCTGGAAGTAACAGAACAGATAATATGAGTTATAAAGAAGTCCAGAGTTGAAAAGAAATAGTGGACATCACATAGTCCAATAGCATTTACCTTTAGATGAGGAAACTAAGGTCTACCAGACACAGTAATAAACAGAAATGGGTTTAAGGCCAGTGGCAGAATGTTGTTAAAGGGCTTCCCAATCATATCTGAAAATTTAAGTACTTGGGCACTTGGGTGCAAGCTTCTGAATTTGTTCTCCCTATCATCAAGCTTGGGCAAAGGTGTGTATCCTCACTTCCTGCTCTAGTTCATCACTTCAGTTTTCACACATCTCATATGTTGAGTATGATTTAAAATGGGAGTCTCTGTTGATGCTGGAAATTTCCAGAGTATCTGTTAATAGGACTTCTGTAAGTAAATATTTAATCTACTTTAAAATTATATCTTCTAGGATGACAGCAATAAATACAGTAAGAAGTAAACACCATTGAGGGTTTATCATTAACATGAAGTTTGTTTGTCTTTATTCAAAAATATGCAGAAGCTATTTATTCCAGATTAACTCTAACTTAAATCCACAGAAGGGACAATGAAATTTTTTAAATCATTATTTTTTAACAATTCAGGTCAGAATCATCAGGTCAGGCAAGGATCATCAATTAAAGCTAAAACTACTGGGTGTGAGATTTTGGAAGCAGTATTTTCACACAGTCTTAAAGTACTGTCACAGATTTTTATTAATGACCTACAAAAAAAGCAGAACCTCTGCAATAAAGAGCTCCAGCAATCACCACCTTATTAAATGAGAGACTTAGAATAACCTACAATGGCATATGTAATATTATATGCCCCCACCTGACCAATAACATTCAGTGGGATACTATGTAATTTTCTTGCCAAAATCACAACCAGAATCTAGCTCTATGAAACAGTCACACAAAGCCATCTGAGGAACAGGCTGCTGGTTAAATGATTACTGGCTGAGACTCTTCAAAAAGTTAAGATACTGAAAGGAAACAAAGAAGGGAAAGGGACTGTTCTTGATTACAAGAGATTACAAACATGTGATAGCTGAATTATGTGCTGTTCCTTGCCTGGATAGCAAATTTCAAAAGAAAAAAAGCCATAAAATAGTCTAGAAAAGTTGATAAATTTAAATACAGGCTGTATATTAATTAATATAATGTTATTATATTAATAACTCCTGGTTGTGAATACTGTTATTATTATGTAGAATAAAATTTTTGTTCTTGGGACATATATGCTGAAGTATTGAGGTATAGATAGATCCTAATATTGAGAAATGAAAGTCTCTCTTGGTTGTGTGCTTTAGTGAACACAGAGACAATTCAAGTCCGAACCGTTATAACAAATTGGTGATTAGAGCAAGCGCCAAAACTTCCTAGTAAGTTGCCAATTCTGTCTTTTCCAGACAAGCTTATCAATATCATTGTTTTTCCCATGAAAAGACAACTTTTAGTTATATTATTTTTAATTTAATGATAATAATAAGTGGAATAGAGTAAGCTTATGGCATTGTAACTATAAACCAATACAGAAACTATATGATAGAAGGCATTACAGAGTTAAAAAGACAAAATTTTGTCCCAAGATTCCAGTGATAGTAGACCCTCAGAGAGCTAAGCTAATATCTGCAGTGAATTTTCAACTGTGTTCACATCAGTTCTGAATCAGGACAGGAGGTAAGTTATTCTGACTGCCTATGGGAGAGAAATGAATCTACTCTGGAAGAAGATAAACATCCACTGAAATTCTGCATTTCTTCATATATAATATCTGGTAGTTAGCCATAAGTTTTAAGTATTTCAAGGGTACAACTGAGTGATCACAAAAAGAAAGTGGAAGAAAGGGAAGACAACAAAAACAGATCTACATTACGGAATCATTTTCAAGAAGTTTTATGCACCCAACATTACCTTGATTTTAAAACCCTGAAAAGAAAATTTTGAGGGAGAAGAACTGGAGACCAACTCTCTTGTAAATAAAAATACAGAAGTCCTGAACAGTATGTAGAAGATTAAATCCAGTTGCTCATGTATACTTATGTATATTTAGTGAGGATAGTGAGGCCAATATATAAAATCATACAAACACACTCAGGGAATCAATTTCATAAAATTGTACACATGTTCATCACAAAAATGTATATACAAATAAGACAAGAGGGAAAACTTCCCTAATCTGATAAGGAATATCTACCAAAATCTACTGAAAGCACCATTCTCAATAGTGAAACATTAAACCTCCACCCCTCCCTGCAGATCAGAAATGAAACAAGGATGACTTCTATCATCAATTCTGTTCAACACTATTCTGTTCTGTTTAACACTATTCTGAATATCCTAGCCAGTGCAATAATGCAATAAAGATAAATTAAGGACACAAGAATTGGAAAATAGTAAATAAATAAAATAAATATTAACCCAGGTAGCAGAATAAGGTACATGGAAATTCCAAATGCATCTGCAGACAAAAAATGATTAGTAGTTTGTGATGATTAGTAAATTTAGCAAAGGTGCTAGGTATAATGTCATCAGAATGATAAAATATATTTCCAAATACTGGGTACAAAGAAATGAAAAGGCACTTTATTTATAAAAACAACAAAACATTATTTATCTAGGAAAAATTCAGCAGAAGAGTTGCAAGTCAGTGCACTGAAAACAAAACATTACTGAGAAAATAAAAGAAAGCCAATAAATTGAGAGCATAATCATATTCATGAATTTAAAGTTTCAACACATTAAGATGGTCTTTCCAAATTGAACTGTAGATTTAATGTAATCCTGATAAAAATCCCAAAAGAGTGTTTGGGAAATTGACACCAATATTTTCAACAATTATTTGAAAGTATAAACACAGAGTAGCCCAAACAATATTAAAGATACATATTATACAATTTTATAAATCTTTATAGTCCCAAAAGAAATAGCAGAAAGTCCATCAAGCCACCACATGTATAAGCTTTGTACTTCTCTCATCTTGTGTTGGTAGAGGATTGGAACCACACTGGGAATTTGAGAATTTCAAAAGCACAGAAGTACGATGTAGGAGAAACAAGCTTACCTTAGGGATGAGGTAGTTTCTGAATTTAATGTCAGAGGTCACTGTATGAAGCAAGCCATTGGGGATAAGGTCAATGTATCTCTGGATCTCATGCAATACAGCATCCATGTAAGGCATGTGGCTTCTGTCCTGCATGCAGGGGCTCCTGTGTCTGCCAATTACACGGTCAATCTCTTCCTGGACTTTAGCTGATAAGACACAAGTAAGAGCTGATGAAAAAAGAAGATATGTGGCACATTTGTCATAGCAGTGAATGGCTCATAAACCATCAGGTGGGGGTCCCAACAGCATTACAAACATGATTACATGCCCAGAACCATATAGAGAATTGCCAGAGTATGGATACATACCAGTCTCCTACAAAGTAAGCATCACAATGCATAAGCACGCTCCTATAAATTAGTATACATGACAATTCATAAAAACATAATAAGTTATTTCAAAAATAAACAACATAAGTCAAGAAATTACAGTGCTCACAAAAAGAAAAACAGAAATTCAGTATTACATGTATACCAACATAATATATGGGGTTCAAAATTAAACTAATTTTGAACAGTTTAATTTTGAACAATTCAAATTGAATTTGAAATTCAAACAATTCGGTTTGAATTTTGAAGAATTCAAAACTGTAATTTTGAATGAATTTTTATATATATATATGTATGTGTTTTTGTGTGTTTGTGTAGGAAGGAGGTGTGCAATTAGCTGTGGTACTCTCTTCATTATTACACTTCCCAAATGTGGCCACTCTGAGCATGCTAGCACTTTCTTCTGAAATTTATATTTATATTTCTAAATAATGACTCTCTGTTTCTATTGTTTTCCTTAACAATTTTTAGACAATATTTAATGGTTTACTGGTATGGGAGATAATAATTTTCATCTCTGTCTTCACCCCATATATAGACACACATCCACAAACTGATATATACACACACACACATACACACATAAACACACACACAATTCTCCTCCCTCTATTTACCAGAATACCTTAGGCCATAATTTCTGGTTATATCACTATTCATTCTTTACATATTTCTACTACATATTTACTCTTTCTTGGTAAGACAATGATAATATGATTACATTTTGTACTTGGTACTTTCTTGGATTTAACAGTGTCTTTTTACATAAATCATAGTTTTCCATTTTCAAGTTAGAATTGTTTCCAAATGCTCAGGCAGATGTTTCAAACTCCTAGTAATAATTTACAAATCATAGAGAAACCTCAGACTATTGCTCTCCTCTCTTTGGTCCTTGATGTCTCCTCCCACACCTGTGTTATCCACCTGGTCCATTCTGAAGTGCTTGTTTTCTAGGCCTGGTGCCCAGCAGCCTCCCTGACACTCTCATTCTCCTACATGAGATTTCCTAATTCCTGGAGATCATGACTTCTGACATGGTTTCTGACATTTGGATGGAACACAACCTCTATTATTAAAGAAAGGGTAAAGTTTGTGGCAAACATTCAAGTCTCAAAATAGCCTTTTTCTATTAATATACAAGGTAATATTTATGCTTGAGAATTCTGATACTGTCTGAATGCTAATCATTTATATATGACCTGATATATCTCTCTGAAAGGTTTTGATTTTCCCTTTAATCCTGGTGTTCTGAAATTCCATGACCCTCTGTCTTGGAGTGGATGTTTTTGTTTCATTCCCTCTAGTGAACATTTGCGGATGAGGTGATATTCAGATACCAAAATACAGAGGTCTTTCCTAGACCTTTGTATTTGGAGAGTTGTTTCCTCTCTGAAGAATACATCTGGCTGATAAATTTCAAGAAGGAAGAGGGTGAACAATTTGAGTCCCTGAATTCAAGGAGGAAACCCTTTCTGTACCTTTCTTTTGAGCCCTACACCTCACACTTTCCTGTCGCTGCCTAGCGTCCCTGAGTACAGAGCTTATTAGGCTCAGTTACTCTAGAGAACGAGCCTCCCTTTTCCTGTGGGGGAACATCAGTTACCTGAAAAAAGGAGCTGTGGAGGAAACCTGGGTGAGAGAGCCTCCTTTTTCAACCTCATTCCCTACCTTTTCTGACCCTCGATACCTCTTATACTGAACCCTATGGTATTGTAGTGACACAGATTAGTGTTTCCTTGTGATAAATTGTCCTCTTCTAACATTTGTCAGTTAACTTCTGATATTGAAGTTAAGTTACAACTTCATCCTCTGTGCTGAGTTCATTATCACCCCTCTAACTGCTCTCTGTGTTTCAGGAATTTGTCAAAGACTAGTTGGCTCTTGCCTGTTCTTCTCACTTTTTATTAAAAGGCTAATTCTGATTTCTAATTAGGTTATTGAAATTTCAGTGACATCCTGACACAGGGAGAAAAAGTATGTTATCTACTGCAAAACCGAAACTCTTTAAATCTAAATTCTAAAGAAAGGTGGAATTTACTCTAGAGGTAAATTCTAAATTCTAAATAAAAGTTGTTTGCAAAAGATAAAATTATTAACCCTCCTTCAAAAAATTCCTATTTTGGCAAACACCAGTTTTATGAAACATACTTCTGGAATAATAAAATTCCTTAAGTGCATCCTCTGCCTAAATGAAAACACCTTTCTTTTATTTTTATTTTTATTTTTTATTTTATTTTATTTTATTTTATTTTATTTTATTTTATTTTATTTTATTTTATTTTTTTGAGATGGAGTTTCGCTCTTGTTGCCCAGGCTGGAGTGCAACAGCACGATCTTGGCTCACTGCAACCTCCACCTCCCAGGTTCAAGTGATTCCCCTGTCTCAGTGTCCCAAATAGCTCGGATTACAGACATGTGCCACCATGCCCAGCTAATTTTGTATTTTTAGTAGAGACGGAGTTTCTAGTCTCAAACTCCCAACCTCAAGTGATCCGCTCACCTCAGCCTCCCAAAGTTCTGGGATTATAAGCGTGAGCCACTGCACCCGGCCCAGAACACCTTTTTTATTGGTCTAACTTTTTAGATTACTTCCTAGACTGAAATTTACCTCAGGAAGTCTCACTAAAATGATAGGATTTCCACTTTTGCTTCAGGAAAGAGAGTTTTCATTTTCCTACCCTAGCATTAGAGCATGGAATTAAAAAAAGAATGAGAAAAGGGTATCTTCAATAATGTACCTACTGTTCAAAGTGGACTTCTGTAATAAAACCAACATTCAGTCTCAGGCCAACTTATGCTGGCTCTGCTTACCACAAATTACCTCCACTGAAATCCTGACACCACCAGAGCTCTATTGCTTTTGCTACTGCCACACTATTTTACTGCTCTCAGTCTCCTCCTCCATTGTGCAAAGATGTCTTTCTTAATCATGTCATTAAATTTAGACTGATTACAGCTAGTGACAGAGAAGTTTAAAAAATGAAGCTTCTTTAAGAGAAACAGGGTAGAGGACACTGGCACCATCTTCTCAGCATTGTTCTGAAACTCACTTTGTTCATCATCTGTGGTCCTACCTGTGACCTCTGGGTGCTTCAGAAGGAGCAGGAGTCCATATCTCAGAGTGGTGCTTGTTGTGTGTGTTCCAGCAACAAACAGGTCAAATACAGTGCTAACCAAGTTTTCAACAGTGAATTCAGACTGTTGGTTGTCCTTTTCCTAGAAATAATTTCATGCAATTATCTGAAAAATTATGTGCCAGCATATTTAATTACAGTGGATTTTTTGAAACTCATGTTATAAAATTAGACAAAAAAAGAGACTGGAGAGTACAGTATTAGACAAAACAATGGTATGGTATGGTATGGTATGGTATGGTATGGTATGGTATGGTATGGTATGGTATGGTATGGTATGGTATGATATGGTATGGCAGAAACAGTGTATCAGTTGACCCAAACTTCATTTCCTGCCCTGTTTTCCCAGCTTGCCCATGAATTCCATTCATGAAACTCTTTGCTGCTTAGGTTAGCCACACATCATATTATTTTTCCAAATATATATATGCAGAAGCATTTTGGTGCACTGTCTTTGTACAATTTGTGTTATATAACAGAATATTACAGATTAGGAACTTTATAAAGAAAATGAATTTGTTTCTCATGGTTCTGAAGCCTGGGAAGGTCAGGAGCATTGCACTGGCCTCTGGCAATGGCCTTCATGCTGTGTCATTACATGGCAAAAGGTAGAAAGGCATGGAAGGGTAAGTGAGTGAGCCAGAGAAGGCCAAACAATTTTATTAGGCTCCACCTAATAAACTGGCATTCAGTTTTTACACATGAACTTGAGGGGATACATTCAAACCATAGTATGAGTCTTCTATTTACTCCTTCTTACTCAAGAGACAGATGTGAAGGAGGTGTTAGGATAAACATCATCTTGGGACATAACTACTTAATCATAAAAATGAAGGCTTCTTATATGACTTGGATCTGCATTCCTACCCAAATGTCATGTTGAATTGTAATCCCCAATGTTGAAGGTAGGACCTGGTGGGAAGTGATTGGATCATGGAGGCAGATTTCTCGCTTGGTACTATGTCACAATAGTGAGTGAGTTGACATAAGATCTGGTTGTTTAAAAGTGTGTGGCACCTCCCCTTTTTCTCTCTGTTCCAGCTATGTAAGACATGCCTGCTTCCCCTTCACCTTCTGCCATAATTGTAAGCTTCCTGAGGCCTCCCCAGAAGCCAAGCAGATGCTGCCATGCTTCCTGTACAATCTATGAAACCATAAGTCTGTTAAAACTCTTCTCTTTATAAATGATCCAGTATCGGATATTTCTTTATAGCAATGCAAGAATGGGTTAATACAGCTTCAATACTAAATATGGTGAAAATAATATAAAACACTTGGCTCTATGATGCTTCAGGAATACCATATTATTTCTAGTTTGACCCACCATAAAACTATTTGTATTTGAGATAAAGAAATCCACTGTTTAGTTAAGCCATTATTTACTATTTTTTCTTATTAGTAAATGAATATAATTTTAGTTAATAGAAATAGGTAATTTAGGTCCATATCATGGAAGGTGTTACAAGCCTGAATCATGAGTTTGCAATTGTCTTCTTCTGTCAAAAATTTACATAGGCTCAATATTGCCTAGAGACTCATGATGAAGCTAAAATTTTGTGTAAACACTAATGTGATGACAAAACCTAGAATGAAATATAGTGAAAGGGACACAATTCACAAAGACAAGATTAGGACAGCAAAATTATAATCCAGATAGAAGGCAACCTGCAACTTTTTCTAGGGAACAAGTTCAGAAACGAATAGGAATATAAAAAGTGAAGAGAAATGGCAATCATTAAGACAGAGATTTGAGGCACCACCTGCCCGTAAAGGGTAAAGAAGAAGAGAGTAGGGATAATGCAGATAGATGCCAAGGCTAAGGGACTAACTGAATGAAGTGCTCATTAGTTGAAAGTCAAGATAGAGAAAGTAATTGGCAAAGATAAGTAGTTTCTTTTAGGACTGAAATGATATGACACAGAATTGACAATAAGGAGGCAGTCTTTAATATTGAGTACAGGGAATCATAAATATACCAATATATTATTTTCTAACCAATCCCTAGGCCAGCCTTAATTTGATAATATTTTTATAATCTACAGGTGACATGTGACATGTCCAATATTATGTAATAAACACCATTAAGATAAAACAAATGCTCTCAAAACCTATACTTGCTAGACAAAGATAGTCATCTCCCTTGGTACCAACAGCTTCACGGTTTTCTAAACTCATGAAGGTAAAGTTACTTTTAAGTCAGGGCCAGGCAGAGTGGCTCACGCCTGTAATCACAGCATTTTAGGAGGCTGAGGCAGGTGGATCACTCAAGTTCAGGAGTTCAAGATCAGCCTGGCCAATATGGTGAAACCCCATTTCTACATTTTTTTTAAATACCCAGGCATGGTGGCAGGCACCTGTAATCCCAGCTACTCAGGAGGCTGAGGAAGGGTAATCACTTGAACCCAAGAGGCAGAAGCTGCAGGGAACCAAGATCATACCACTGCACTCCATCCTGGCAACAGAGCCAGATTGTGTCTCAAAAAAATTACTTTTAGTAAGAAAAGCATTATGCTCATAGACTAATATTAATATGTCAATTCTGTTGAAGTGAATTTGGAGATTTTCAGGTAATATGCACATAGCCTATAATAATTAAGCTAGACTATACAAAACAATGTTTGAAGAAATTAAGAAAATCTAAATACATGGAAGGATATTTATTTCATAGATTGAAATGCTAATATTCTTATGGTGGCATTACTGGGGTAATGTCACAATTATTGGGAAGTTCAGGAATCAATGGCTGCACTAAAGCAACCATTGACCCTGCATAATCTGTCTGAAGAAATTATTTTGGGACTCTAAAGCCTAGTCAAACAATTGTAGCACCCAGAGAAGTAAGGGATAAAGAAAGCAACTGGTAAGTTTCAGTAAATTTGGCATCTTTCATAGAGGTTAACATCCCTTATAGCTGTTACATGGCAATTTGGGGAACAGTGTACTGTGTGGCCGGTGCAGTTTCTTGGTTCCAAACTGGACAATAGAAACATTTTCCTTCAAAAATCGGGGTTGTATCGTTTGATTGTTGAAATAGTACAGAGGCTGGCCAATGTTTCAATCCCCACAGGCTCAAGCGACTTCCCCAGTGACATTACATGTGATGAATTAAAGAGAAAAAACTTTTCTCTTTTATTTTCTGTTCTTTTGATGCTTAATCCAGGGACTTAAGAAAACCTTTGTTAGATCATTACCTGACTGTAGAAATAACAGTACAATGACTTAAGTGATCACATAAGACAAAAAATACAGTCTTTGCAATAATAGTTTGGAAAAGTCACTAAACAAATTGATGACTGAAGCATTCATCAAGCAACATCAGCAATGGCTAGATGATGAAAACATCTTATTTTCAGGTTTAATGCCTTACAATATGTGAAATGTCTACTTCTCAACAAAAATTACGTAGCATATAAAGAATCAAGTAATATAGTGCATTAGCAACTAAAAAAGGAATTTGACAGAAACCATCCCAGAGGAAGCCCAGACATTGGACTTACTAAAAAACCTTTAAATATCTTACATTTCCTCAGAGAGCTGAAGAAAATGATGTACAAGGAATGATATAACAGAAATTTTCAGGGAAACTACTACAAAAGAAACAAAATATACCAGGAAAGAAGTCAAGAAGGAATCAAAAGTTTTAGTAGATAAAAAATGATCAGACAAAAATAGGGCAATATTGTGGGAATTGAGGGAAAAATAAAGATATAAAACAAATTTAAAATAGCATTATAGCAGAAGTAATCCTTTGATGTAGCTTATCACTTTCATTGTAAATGGAAATACTAAGGGCACATAACATGGACTGAATTTGCCATTTAAAATACAGGTCTGGAAGGAATGGACTCTTTAATAGAAAGTTATATGCTGTCTATAAGAGGCTCACCTTATACCAAAAGAAACAATAATCCTGAAAGCAAAAAATAGAAAACTATTTTCCATGCAAATTTTGGCTGAAGCAAGGTGGAATGGCTATATTAATACCACAAAAAGATTTTATGCTAAAATTCTTAAGATAAGCAAATAAAGGTATTTTCTATTGGAATCAAGGATGAATTCATCACAAAGATATAAAATTATTAATGTGTGTGCACCAATCAATACACGTCCAAAATATGTGACACAAAATTTGTCAGCATTGAAGGGACAAATAGATTTCACACAAAAATAGTGAGAAATTTCAGTACCAAATTTTCACTAATAAAACATCTAGACAAAAGATTAATGGGAAACAGAAGACTTGAACAACACTAGATATTACTATACCTGACAAACATATAGAGAATATTTTATTCAACAACAGTAGTATATACAACTTCTCAAGTGCAACTTTCTCCAGGTAGAGAATAAACACTTTTGAATAATTTTTAAGACCAAAATCATACAAAATATCTTCTCAAGCCACAACATAATGGACTTAGAAATCAGTAACAGGAAGAAAATTAAACATCAAACAACATGGTGTTTAACAACCAGTGTGTTAAAGAAAAAAATTATTAGGGAAATTAGAAAATATTGAGAGATAAATGAAAATAAACACTAAATTATCAAAATAATGATACACAACAAAAGCAGTTCTTGGAAGAAAATTTACAGCAGTAGACATCTACATTTAAAAAGAAACAAGTGCTTGAATCAACATAACTTTACAACCTAGGAACTAGCAAAAGAATATCAAACTAAACTCAAAGACAATAAATGGAAGCAGAGATAAATGAAAAAAGAGAATTAAGTCCAATAGATTCTGGCAATACAACAAACAATGACACCAAATATTGGTTCTCTGAAAAGATCAACAAAATTGACAAATGTCTAGCAAGACAGACTAAATAAAAAGAAAAAGATAAGACACTAATAACTAAACTCAAAAATGAGAGCAGGGACATTACCACTAAAGCCTCTCTTTATTTAGATCATCTAATTTATTGGTGTACAATTGTTTATAGTAATCTTTTATAATCCTTATTATTTCTTATTTACCCTTCTATGGATTACAAATCCTCTCACAGTTTGATAACCGCCAGCTTCTTATTACTTTCTCTTTGTGTATGTTGTAGATCCTTTCAATGATCTCTCTGATAG